AAGAGAAATCAGAACTCTTACCACGAGGGCCCTTACCGCCCTGAGGAAATCTACCTTGTTGTTATCGGCTCGATTTCGTTACTCACCGTGTCCCCACGTACACGCACGCTCATTTTTCATAGTATTGGAACCGAGGAGTTTGACAGGAAATTAAAGAGAGAGCGGGTACGAGGCTTTTAACGGAGGTCCCCCCTGCAGAGCGAGACCCCAACTATTATATACACCCACACGCACACACGATTCACGGGAAGGAGCTGCAAAAAGCCCGAAGATCAGATACACGCTTTCTCTCAAACTTGATCTGGACAACGAGGTTTTCTCAGTCTTCATTCACGAACCTTTAATTTTTACCCCGGAAAAATATATCTTTGCTGACAATTAACTTAGGGGATTAAAATATTCTCTTGATAAGCCGTTATTATAAGATTACGAGAAGAGCTTTCATTTGAGTCCCAGACGAGTGAAAAAGATCAATCAGATCGAAAGTTACGCACATAACTGAACAGCTCCAACTTTTAACCTGATCGACCTTTTTTTGTTTTTGTTTTAATTTCATCAGTGGATCTCATTTCAAGTAGTTTAGGTCACTTTCTGGTCAGACACCTCAACATTTGAAGCGGAGACATGATTTTCACCTGATTTGATGGAGTTTTTTGTTTTGTTTTAACTTTATCAGTAAATCTCATTTCAAGTAGTTTAGATCACTCTTTGGTCAGACGCCTCAACATTTGAAGCGGAGACATGAGTTTCACCTGATTCGATGGGTGTTTTTATTTGTGCCACCTGCACTTTTCCCATCGAATAATCTTTCGAGACAAAAATGACGTGTCAACCTCAAGGTACGGCAAATTGGCCATTCCAAGCCGAAGAGCAAAACATGAATTATGGTCCTGATTTTTCGTAGATTTCTCACAAATGATAAATCACGTAAGCCCGTGATTAAGTCAAAAGAAAATACAAGTGAGCAGACGGAGGGGGAGAGAGATAGATCTCAGTTGAGCATCGTTAAAAAATGTGTCGTCGTGCACGCAGCAAAAGGTCGCTTCGTGCGCGTAGAGAGAAGGGGAGGGGAGAGGTAAAGCTCGTGTCATCGGTTAATCCGGGTCAGCGGGTCGGCCCGCCACAGAAAGCCGGGAAAGGGAGCTCGAGCCCTCCCGTGCTTCTTCCGCTTCCGGGCGTGGGACATTAATTTCAGAAGAGCATTCTCTCCCCCGCGCCGTACAGCGCTTCTATACTATTTCTCCCTCTCCCATACCCCCTTTTTTTCCACCTATACTTACGGCCCCTCTTTCTCTCGCGCACACTGTTTCTCTCTTCCTCCGTAGAGAGGAATAATGTAGGGTTTCCTGAACCCCCTCCCCGCCCCCTTTTACACCCTGGAACTTGCGTGTGCACGAGTCGAGATACGACGAAAAGAAGAAGAAGAAGAAGAAGAAGAAGAAGAGGAGATAAAAAAGCAAGTAGCGGTGGCTTTAATATTAATAGGCTCTTTTGCTTCTACTCTCGTCGTTACCTATGCCTTTCCCTCTCACAGCAAAGGTATAATAAGCGTGGCTCCTGTATACTGTACCTATAATAGTCTCAGGTAAATTTCCACCCCCCGCCCCCTCCGCCCTTACTACATCCACGCGGTTTCTACATTTCCACATAGTAGACAGAGCGCTCGAATGATCAGCGAGGACTTTTAGCTGTACCATGAGGAATGCTCGAGTATTTAAGCCCCTCCAAACAGATTTTAAATGTTTTCAACTCGTCAACAAGTCGTGCTTGGCATTAGTTCCCTCCGGTTGGAATGTACCAACTCACATCTCTGGCCATTAGTAGAAAAAAAAAAAAAAATGTGACGGCCCATTAGCTTCCTAATGCGGCGCGTACTTTTGAAAAAGCCATCACCCATATACCATACCATGCACACAGAGGTGTACACATCAATCAGATTTCCATCGCACGTATGGTGCATACATATGTATCGTATATGTATCGATTGATATATTCACGCCTCATCGGTCTCGAATCGTATGAATAATATACACGTACACGTAGACCTTGGAAAATTCCAACGTTACGCGATCAAGGACATCATCCTGATGCGAGCAAATAACTCTCGAGTAAAAATGGGCAAGATCAATCACGTGAGCTAGACCAATCCAATCGAGCTCATGTATAACACTCGCTTATGTACACATATACAGGATTATCTGCGTTCGCAACTAGCCTATATCTTATCGGTATATAATACGACGTGCGTGCGACGACACCATCGCACTAGGATGCAGGAGAGGGAAACCGGGCGCGCATCCATGCGAGAGATTATTGTGCACTCAAGGATGGGTGAGGTCGATGCATGTATACGTCACCCAAGCAACTGTAAGAGCAATCGTCGAGATATTTCCGGCCCCCCCCCCTTAGCCCCGCTAATGCTTTGTTTGGCGGATGAAAGCAATTTTTTTGCGAGTCCATCCACTCGTTTCACGGTTCATTCGCAAAAAAGGCTAATCGCTCACTTCTGAAAAACTCCTACACGGGCTACTTTTGCTTCATCTTCTTCTTCTTTCCTCGTTTGCCGTGGACAAATAAAACAAAAGAGGGTCGCTGGCGCGCCTCCGACTCCAACCTCGCCTATATGCGCACCTGTGTGGAGCTGACCCCGTATATACTCTTGGAATAAGCTTGGCGAAAGCGCGAGAGCAAAAAACCCTGGAATATATAAGGTGCTCGATGAGAGCGGGAGGAGTAGGGGGTGGAAAGTTGGTGCCAAGAAAAGTTAGGTAGTGCTCGCGGGCCCGTGAGCGGTGCCCTCTCGAGTGCTCTATACTTACGTGCACGCGGGGCGAACGAGGAGAAAACTTTTTTCCTTTTTTTTTTTCTTAGCGCGCCTGTGTATTTTTTCCTTTTTACGACGGTGCCCGGAAAGCTTTTATCGCACCGGCGTTTCTTTAATTAAAGCAAATATGCAATATGCCAATGTGGTATGTGGCAGGCGTTGATGTTACAAACGAGCATGGCGCGGTATCCGGGTGATTTTAGTGAGTGTACAATTTTTACTACTGATACTGTTACGGCTGAGGTTTTCCGATGACGATTGCAAGGACCTCTGAGTTTCGACGCGACAGATGCGGGCTTTAAGTTTTTTTTTTAATTTATTTCTCTCTATCGTTGCATCCGAGAGCTATGTAGTAGATGAAATTAAAAAAAAAAAAAAAAAAAGGTGTTGTTTATCTTCCTTTGGCGTGACACGTGCCACGGGGCGCGAATTTAATTAAATTTGCCATTCGTCGGAGCGTGAAATTTCGCGATAAGATCGCTCCCCGAGATTTTAATTAAATTTGCTTGTTTAGGCGAATTGAGTGCACTCGAGAGAATTTTACCAGCGGGATAGGGCTTTTCCTCGACCTTAACTAAATGAAATCTCCCGTCGTGGCTGGGAAAATTACACGCTCAAACGACAAAATCGTCCCCCTGTCGAGGAGGAGCGAGCCAAAAGGGAGGCTTTTGAAAATTCGTCGCTCGGACTCCACGACGCACCGTTCGACTCGACCATGCTAATTAAACGTCACATCCAGAACACACGAATCTTATCGCGTACGTTCTCAACCCACTCGATTGGCCCAATCGACATTGTCAATGAATTAAAACACTATCTACATACGAGGTATTTAATAAAAAAAAAAAAATAAATAAATAAAAAAAACTTGCACCGTAGTATCGCTAATAAAAGCTCTCTCTGTGGCGAAAGACAGAGGCCCTCTTAGCCCAATTCCAGCGCGATCTCTGCAACAAGAGCCCTGTATTATTATCTTGATTGCATCGCCGCGAGTGCCTACCCGTACATTATGGCCCCGCGTCGAGAAGAAAAGCGTCGATACCACCCACTTTCTCTCTCAGTCGGAGATTAGGCGGGCATTAACGACGCCTCGTGGAGGAGATTGCGGCACTCGATGTAATGGCTCCATCGGGTAGCGTATCTGGGGCGAACGGCAACAAACGGCCGCTGAATCGGCTACATACGTAGGGGCTTCCATCCGTGTGGAGGGTGTGTAATCGAAGGGAGACAACAGCAGAGACGCGCTGCTCTCAGCCTCGGCGCCCGCCAAAGAGCCACGAGGGGTGGGGGGAGCTTTCGACGCGTGTCTGACAAGCCTTGCGCCTGTGTTTGCGCTACGCGGTCGCCGAGGCGCGCTTGAAGGGGCTGACGTGTATACGTGCATACTTGGGATTCACTCTGTTTTTTCTTTTCTTCATTTTTTGCCGTTTGGCGCAAAGGCTTTGCTCGTGACTGGAGGACGCGTGTTGTCCCGTCTGTAACGAAATGTCTCTTGGGCTCGGATTAGCGAAAAAATCCGTACCGAAGGACAGCCCGGTTTTTTTTTCTCGAAAAGTTTGTATACATGTAGGAACGGAAAAACGCGGTTCCTTTTTTGGGAAGATCTTCCAGGGGGCCGTGGGACAAAGGCCTCGACTTCACTCTGGGTTTTTTCCAGCTTAATGCCTCGTTCGTGCAGTGAGACTTTTTTCCCCCGAGTTCCGGGACAAAAGCGCGGAAAGGCAAAAAAGGAGAGATTTCCCGTGCTCATTTGCAGCGGATGCGAGCATCAATTAATTTTTTATTGTGCGCCATGGATTACCGAGGTGACGAGTTCTCCGTTTCACTGGCGCACTTGAGCATTACTTTTTNAGACGGTGGCTTTGGTCATCAGGGTCACCTCGTAGTTGCCGTCGGCGCTGCGAACACCGTAACAGAAACAAAAAAACAAGCCCCAGATGATAGCTGTACGCATAATTCGTCTTGCTACCATTTTTCTCAACCCCTGTTTTTTTTTTTTTTTTTTTTTTTTTTTTTTTTTTTTTTTTTTTTTTTTCTTAAACAAGCGACTCTTTACTTTTCTCGCGGTACCTACGCTGTCGTCGATGAGCCCTCCAACCGCTTGAGTTGCCATCGCTGCCACGAATTTCGCGTTGAAAAATGTTTGGGCTTGTACCGAGTGTGGAAAAGGACTTACCTTATCGAGACGAGGATCATGGCGAATATGAGGTACTTGCCGAGCAGAGGCACGACCAGGGAGGTCGGTGGTATGATTTCGACGACCAGCAGGAAGAACACGTGGAGACTAATGAGGATCGAAATGGACAACGTCACCTGTAACAAAGACCACAAACATGTATGCCATGTACTTACATCTATTGAAAAACTAAAGCGACGTAATGTAAACAAACGTGACTGTTAAATCATACCATTCCATCTCTTGAATTATAAACATACAAAAAAATAACTGTTTTCATAGCAATTAAAAAGAAATCCCATTATTTTTCTGTTTTCTCCGTGGGCTTCAAAATCAGAGCAAAAACTTTCGAGCCGTAGCGAGGAGTGGTCTTGAAATTATTTCGACTTGGCGAACGGCTTTTAATCCACGTGGACTTGGTCCTCGTGATTGAGAGGTAAAGAAAAAAAAAAAACAAAACAAAAAAACAGCCCCCATTAATAACGCGAGTGTGCCCCTTGCGCGATATACACAGCGCGTATGTTATGTAAATAAGGACAAGCACCTCGGGGTACAAAACCGCGAGGGAAAGAGTTTGCGTCGCGCAAGTACCGAAGCACTCGGGGCTAATTAGGCCGCGTTTTCGTTTTTCTCGGTATAACTGCACCAACGAGTCCGTACATCCGGGGAATGAAAGAAGAGACGGAAAAAGAGACTCGTGGACTTGTTCGTTCTTCTGTGTTGTCTCTCCTTTCTTTGAACCAGGGAAAAGTTTAACGCCGATCCGCCAAGTGTCCACGGCACAATCGTTACTTTTACCATGCACTCGACGAGAGAGACCTCGAAAACCTTGTGCCCTTCGTGTAGTCTGTGTATCAATGGGTGCAGGTATTGCCGATCGAAAACGGGTAACATACTTTGTTCGAGAAATTCCAGTAACATGGTACGATAAAAAACAAAGTCTTTCACTTTGAATAAAGTACTTGATGTAAAAAAAAAAAAAAAAAAAACCTGTATGAATTCAGCTTGAAACACTGTATTTGATATGATTTCGGCCACGGTTTATCGGGGAAAATTGTTTGTAGACGGGATCCACCTCGAGCTGTTTATTCACATTTGGTAAACTTTTTAACCATCAAAACTGATTGAGACCAAGCTTTTTCCTCCTTCTCCTCGATACGTCGATACAAGGATGCATTCCGCGCAACCCCAAGTCGGTCAAACCTCTCGAGCTGTATACAATAGCTCTGTGTCCCGTGTATAAATATATATGTTTAGGTAGACCGCAATGTCGAGGGCGCGATTGTGGGGTAATTAGTTCCGGTCGCCAGTATATCTATACACACACTTACAGCAACTCAGTTCTCGCACGTGGTCGGATTGTTCCGAGTATAAGCCCCTTGTCTCTCGCTTACGGTCCACATATTTTTTGGTAACGCCACGCACGAGTACAAGTACATACAGTTAATAGATTTTTCTGCTGTGAAGGGCTGAGTGTCCTCTGGGTGCGTATAAGTACATCCCTATTTGGGAGTAGTGGAAAAAAACGCGCACACAGAAAGTGAGTAATCGCAGGTCACGAGAGTATCGTGTACGAGGATGTTTGGGGGCACGTAGGTACAAGAGCAAATGGCGCGCAACAACGCGTCGACTGTCTCTCGCCTTCCTCTTCCTCCTTGCCGCGGGCGTTGAAAGTAGAATTTATGTGACACGTAGGCGTTGGTACTATACGGATACTTGCACGGTTTCCTAAAAGTTTCCTTTCACAACCACGTCTATAATTTTTCGTGAGGTATGCATACATGTACATATTGATGCCCCGTCTCCCCCCGTTAAGGACTGATGAAGATGTCGAGAATATATTGACAGCTGCACTCTTTTTTTTTTTTTCCTCCCTTTTACCCAATGTGCATGTATATACGATAAAAGCACAAATGTATATATACACGCACGCATGGAGGCTCGAATAACGCTGGCTCGGGTCGCTTTGAAAATTCCACGGGCCAGCTGCCGTTGTTGCACACCAGTTCTGATGGATTATTGCTTATCGATTCCCGATGCCCGATGATTGACACTGTATGCCATTTTTGCCTCGTCTACCTCCTCCTCCTCCCGTACGGCATATGTATACACATGTGCACGTAAATACATATATATATATATATATATATATCCACTCGAGCGTGTGACGCGACATTGGCGAGCTGTGCGATGGCCCCGACTAACGTAATCCGAGGCAGATTCTTTTTTAGACTTTTCCAATCACTGTTTGCCAAACAAAACAGGCTCACTTGGAGGAGAAATTGCAAGGGGCGCGTGTCTTTTTGTTTAGTTATTTATTTTTTTTTATCGAGAGTGTACCAGCATCGCAAGGGTGGTTACATTTTTGTCGGGAAGTATTTCAAGTCCCAACGAGGGCAGCATCGGCTGCATGAAAAACAAAAAAAATCCCAAAAGGTCCTCGAGGGCAGGATTTTGCGTGGATGATCTTCACGAGCGGGCTGGAAAACACGCGCACTCCACTGCACATAGACCGGTAAGTTTGGAGGTCCAATTCTTTTTTGTTTTTTTGTTTTTTTTGTTTTTCACTCTCTACGTGTGTGGATCTGAGTAGGTATACGGAAAGTTCAAAAGGAACGATTTTAATAAAGGCCGCTTGGAGTGAAAAAAAAGGTCCCGGCGCCCGCGCACTTTCGAGGGGCGTTTTTTAATATGAGAGCTCCGTGGATGGTTTTATTATACACGCAAGGGGAGAAATAAACTCTCGGGCGTAATCCGCTCTTTATTCGGGCGGTGCTTTTTTTGCGCAAAAGCCTTCGTAACTTTGGGCACATCTTAATTTTATTGCTATTGGTCTCGTTGCCGCGTTACCGAGGAATACCTCGAACCATCCGATCACGAAGAGTCCGATGTGCTTTCGAGCGCGAAACGAAGCGTAATTTTATCTACATAATTTCCTTTTTTTGTTTTCCGTAAAAAAAAACATGACGAAAAACATGCTATCCGTACGTTTTTTTCTTAACTTTGACGAGGTTCCCAACTTTTGTGTATTCGGTAAATATTTTCGCGAAAAAACCCAGCATTTCCAAGATCTAAAAGAATCCCCGGCCATATCTCCGCGACGAATCTAATTGCTGGGATAAAAAATGTTTCTCCCGAGACTGGCATGAAAAATGCGAAAGTCGCGAGCAAAGGGGACGAACAAATTACAATGTGCAATTAATTTGCATGATTCGCCCCATCAATCATACGTCCGTGTTCGTATATTTACACAAACGTAGGTACTATACACCTTACGCTATAATGGCACTCGGCGGGAAAATGGCGCGCATTAAAAGTCACCCAGGGCTGTGACGTATGTATGTGTATACATGCGCAATAATCGGCTTTGGACGTCTCGGTTGGGAGGGAAAAATAGCTCATATTGCCTCGGCTCGCGCGGATTAATGCCGTACGTTATAATTCCGGCACCCCTGGGGCCACGGAAGCTCAAAGGAGCGCTGCTGGATGCTTCCCAGTTGTAATGAAAGACTGGCGATATCAGCTACGCCGAAAAGATCGCGACACAGCTCGGGTGAGCTCGAGAAATTTTGTTCGATTTGGAGTTTCGAGAGATAACCCCTTGAAATGAAATTGTTATACCAATACTAAGGATCAGTGTTTAATTTGCTCGGTGATGGATATGATAAAATTTTGGTTGGCCCAAAATGAACGATTTAATACAATTTTAAAGAATATCGCGCGCATTGGGAAATTTAATGGAACGAAGAGCTGGATTAATTTCCCTTTGAGTTAGGGTGATCCCAGTCGATTTTAATATTGCAAGTCAAAGAAAGGGGGTAGGGCAAATTTCGTTCTGTTCGTTCGGATTTCGTAGGAAAAAAAATTACTACTGAAAAGCAGTGAGAAATTGACTGACGCAATGGCTCAATTTTTTCATCGTTTTATTCCGACGACTCGTGAACAAAAAAAAAAATTCATGTTTAAAATTGAAAAATTATTCATGCAACTCTCCCCTGCGAGCTGCCAATTTTATGTTTTTAAAAATGCACGGCCCTTTTACTTCTTTCGCAAAGAGCTGGGATAAAAAGAGTCGGCCGAGAAGTGCTGAAATTGGATACAGACCTTTTTTTTGAGCTCACGTTAATTTAAATTCGTGTGTTACTCATTGCAGGGTGGTCCCAAAAAATTTACCAGCATAAAAGGGATGCGACAAAATAAAAAAAAATAAAAAATGCCGACACACCATGGGATATATCCATTGGAATGAAGGGAAAAAAAAAACTAAAAAAACACAAAAAACTCACCTTCTCTCCACTATCGCTGGGAAGGTAGAAGGTAAGCACAGTCAAAAAGGATATGCCCATGCACGGGATAATGATGTTGACCGTGTAGAAAAGGGTTTTCCGGCGCATCGTTATGTTGAACGTGATGTCCAGATAAGGCTCGTCGCAGCACGTGTAAAACTTTTCGTTCCTGTGGAATAAACGAGGATGAAACAAAAAACAAACACACAAACGCGCGATAAATATTAAACAAAGAGAAAACACACAACGCAGCAGTGGGGGCAAAAGAATTCCGAGGCGATGGAGCGGTAGGTAGAAGGGACGACGAAAGCAGGTCAGACGCGTGGGAGCCGGGGCGTGAAAATGAAAATTCAAGAGCATCGGGGAATTCGGGCAGCAAAGGGAAGTGTATAATAATGAATTCGAGCGAGTGGCAGCAGGAACGATCCGGCTCGCTGGGTGTTATTGGCTGCGTTGGCAATCGAACAAATCGGTCGCGGGAGCTGCGGAACAATATTAAATTCCTTCCGACTCGGGCTTTTTTTTTTTCATTTGCGTGCGTGTACACTTTCAATTTGCGAATTTACGAACAGTCCCGCGCGCGCAAGGATTTTCCACGTGAAACGGAACAAAAAGCAAATTCGATCAGCCGTTTGTCACTGTTTTTTTTTTTTTTCCTTTTTTTTCATAGTAGCAGTTTTGTGGCGTTACGTAAATGGAATTTTCTTACGGTTTTTCACGGATTTTCAGATGTAAAGCGTCGTAAAGCGCACATTGTAAAATTCCAAGGCCAAGGTACGAGTCGCAGTAAAAGTGTAAGCTGCAAGGCTATACACTGCTTGATGAAAAATCTCAGGATTTTACATGCTATTTTACGGCTGTAGCGTGATTTTGTTTGTTTTCATCTCTTACTGGCGTAAAATTCTTTTCAAGCAATACCGATATTCATACACAAGAAAGATACGTTGAAGGAACGCCCGTCAAAATTAGAATCAGAAAAAGTAAAAAGGTTCGAAAATATTTCACAGTTAAAAAGCTCCCTTTTAGGGAAAGCAGACATGAAGCCACTAGAATGGAAAAAAAAAAGAAAAAAATATTCGAAGCTTGATTTAAAAACGTAAAAGTTGACCCGATCGACGACACGAGAGGGGGTGTAAAAACAAAGTGACTCTCACCTCACCGCAGGAACTTCGAGTATGTCCCACTCGACGGACATGTAGAACTCGGATAGGTCGACACCCACGTCGACGACGTTGCTGCCGGATTTCTCGTCCATATGCCTCAGATCCACCTACGGGACAGCAGAGCAGAGACACAGTTTTCGGGAGCCTTTTTTTTTCTTTCTTTTTTTATTTACCAACTAATCGATTTTTTTCTTTTATGCTCAGCAGCTGTACAGCGCCAGCTGATACACATACACTACGTTGTATGCTTTTTTTCGTCCCTTACCTCTCGTCCGCAGAGCCGCTCGTGCGCGAAAAGAGTTCATTTTCCCTCTGTCCCGCTCGAGCGTCCCTTTGACGATTGCCAAAGCTGTACACAGCCAAGCTCATACACCTCCTAACCCCCTTTTTTTTTTCTTCGCATTTTTCTTTTCAACGCTCCATCGGTCCCTTCTTTCTGGCTTTTACCACGATAACGGCGATGCTTTACTTTGAAGTCATCGAGATACGTAAAATGAATAAAATACAAAAACTCATTCAGTAGTTAATCGAAAGAAGAAACCGATCGAGTCTTCAACGAGCGCTATGTAGGCATATACAATAAATACAACACAACAAAACGAACTGTCAAACCAATCAACGCACACATGGGCTATTCTACCACGTGCTCGTGGGCGTCGACTCCAGGAAGCTTCTCCGTAAAAAAACGGATATTCAAATCATCAATAAACTCAGTCCCATCCAACTTTCATCCCTTGTATGAACCGATTTCATCACCCACGTGTCAATACTTTAACGATGTGAGCTTCCGGAACTCGATACGTGTTTTATACAGTTGTTTAGTCCTCCGAAGCGCCCTGCCAGACCGCAAGAGCTTCAAAATTAATATTCAAAAGAACGATTTCACTGCTCCATCGAATAAAAATCGCCATAGAATAGGGCACTTTGGAGGCGTCGCAACGCATCACCCTACGTACACTAAAAAAACAAAAACAAAAAATATATGCTGCGGTGCTAAAACGTGATATGCATGTCAAGTACACATAAATCTATAATTACGTACAATTATATTGCGCGCGTACAACTCATTGAGCTTAAATATACATTTCCCATTGCAAACAGCAAACACATTAACTAATTGCAGGCTTGTACATTTTTATATACACCACGTACAAAAAAAAAAAAAAAAAAAANATTCCCTGAGTACAGGGCGCGTGGGGATTGACACGACGTTCGCGCGAATGTGCTGTTTAATTAAAATGCATGGATCATTCCCGTTTTTTTTTTGTGTTTTTTTTTTTTTAAAAAAAAAAAATTTAAAAAATTTTTTTTTTTTTTTCAAAAAAAAAAAAAAAAAAAAAAAAAAAAAAAAAAATTAATTTAATAGACACATGTACATATAGGCATAGAAACAATAGACAAAGATACGTGTAGTGTATTAGTGGGTGGCATGTATACATGAGAGGTGAGTGTGGGGGACAGGAAAAAGGGGCTACAAGAGCGAGAAGCGTCGAATTCACAGAGAGAGAGAGAGAGTCATGTCTATTTTATGTATATAATATACTGATGGACAGAAGTGTGTGTGTGTATGTCTGATAGTGAACGATTGATATGTTGAAAATATGTGGGTAAAATATTTAAGTTACACAATATAATATATTCGTAAATAATATATAGGGTATGGGTGCAAGAAAGAAAAGTTTAAGGTGAAAAAGAGAGCGGATGAACCGATGTGATTACAATTACTGTACTGCATGTATGCTCCGCAGTCGCAGTTTCCACAGGCAGCCACCAACGAGATTTTTTTCGTGTTTTATCAATTGGTCTCAATGGTAAGTATTTTGACCAATGAAAATATTTCGGATATTATTTATACTTAACAATGGTAATGGCAATGATGATGATGATGGTGGTGATGATGATTTTATTAATAGTATTATTATAGTAGGTACACAGGTGATGTATACATAATAATCGCCAATGGCATTGTATATTTGGCGTGTCAGCATTAAGCCGACGTATATCGGTTGTACAGACGGGAGAGTTAATTTTTACAACGCAGGTAAGATGTACCATCGAGCAAGGAGAGCTGGAAAAGTTATATCGTCCATATCGTGCTGTAGTAAATCTGCTGCTTCAGCTGAACACAAGTATACAGTTTATGCGATATGGTGATGTATAAACATTACAGTATTATCATTATTTTGGCCAACTCGCACGCTTTTTTTTTTTTTTTTTTTTTTTTTTTTTATATATATTATTGATGTTTATCGCTCGTTTCACGAAATTCGAGATGTACAGTTTCTCGTAAATTCGCGATCGTTTGCTCGATGCGTGTTGAACTGAATGGATTTTTTTTTTTTTTCGAATTCCCTGAGTACAGGGCGCGTGGGGATTGACACGACGTTCGCGCGAATGTGCTGTTTAATTAAAATGCATGGATCATTCCCGTTTTTTTTTTGTGTTTTTTTATATTATTATAATATTATTGAATGATTGTTGTAATTGTCACTTTAGTTTATTTTTCAATTGTATTTTTTACACCGCAAAGAAACGACAAATCGTCATGATAGGTTGCCATTGTCCTGTAGTTCGTTTATAACTTTTGTTTAGTTGTAAAAAAAGAAATTAATTACAACCGCTGAGTAATCAAGTGCACGTGCTTTTTTACACGATTATACATAATAATTTAATATTTTCGTAGTTTTCTTTCTTCATGATAAATACCATCGATCGTTTGTCTCGTTTTAGTTATCATAGTTTTATCGCATGGGTATACGAAAATGTGTAGTTTCAATTGACCTAGAGGATACACTTCATTCTCCTCTTGGGCCAGCAATTTTTTTTCGCTCGAGAAAAATTTGTTTAAGAAAAACCACGTCCATCATACACAAACCACTAGTACAGAAGATGATACTACGTTTTGGATTATATTATCTCGGCAAAGTAACTAGAGATTATGAAAAAAGAAAGAGCTTTGCCTCGCAAAATCAAGCGAAAAAAAACAAACAAAAAAAAAACAAATTTTCTCGGAAAACGAGCAAAGATCGTCCTCCCCAAAAATATTTTAACCCTTACCGAGTGTGTGCGCTTCGATACGTCCCTCAACGTTCACCCTCGAGAGCAGCGACCAGTTGAGGAACAATCAAGTACCGCGAGCCAGCTAATTTCACGGTCTTCGTTCCTGGCTCGAGAAAAGATGGAAAAAAAAAGAACCTCGAAGAAAAGTAGGGTTGAACGGGGAAGGGGAAACAATCGTCCAGCCAGCTCGGTTCATTGTCCGTTCGCTCTCGGGTCTATCGATTCCAGCCGTGCACGTACATACGTATGCGCATCCTGGCGATCCTACACTCTTTCTATCATCAGCCTTGTTCTCTCCCCCCACCCCTCTCTGCAGGTACACACTCTGGCCGAGATTAAAGTCCCCGCACCGAGGGGGTTGTTAACCCCCCGCTGCCCCTTCCTTTGCTCTTATTTCTTGGCGCCCAACTGGGCTGCAGCTCTGTGCTTGTTTGTAATGAGCTTTGTTATTCAAGTGGCAAACAAAAAAAAACAGCCGCTACGGAAATCTGTCTCGCGCTAAAGAGCCGGAAAGGGAGCGCCGTTCGGGCAAAGCCAGGGCGGGGCCCGTCACTTTGCTTTTGGAGTCTTTTTTTCGAGGCTCACTCTTGTACATTCAAAGTTGCGGATTTAATTCAACCCTAATGAGACGTTGTATATTGGGTATACGCGAGAACCAGACAATCGGAAAGAAAAAGGGATCATCGAGTCGTGACATTATTGTATACATTTGTTGTGGGTGGTGTTAATTTTTTTTTTTCACCAACTAAACCACGTAAATTACGTTTACCGGCTGGTGTAGCGATGTTCAAGGAAAGTTGGCTGAAACGGTGTACCAGGCCTCATTTGCACGCGAGTGTCGCCCCCCCCAATATTGCCTACACTGCAGTTTTATTTCGTGTCGTTTCACGCGACGAAACGGAGTAGTGGTACTTTGTCACGGAGACAATGACCGAGAACAACCCCGTGGCGGCTTGATACCAGCGGGAGCGAGAAAAAACAACGGAGTAACGAAGACCCGGCGAGCGGATGACGAAGCTTTCTCGAGAAAGTAATAAAGTTACCGGGGAGCCCTTGCCGGCACAAAGGAGAAAATATAGAGTCCAATGACGGGAGTCCGGGGGACGATGCAGCGGGGTATGCATGTATAGGTATTTATACGTACACAGAGGAAAAAATCGCCGAGGAGGAGGAGTTCAAAGGAACCTCGGCCCGCACGGTACAGGCGCACGTTGAATGTGTACGCGTATCGTACGAGCAGAAAGCTTTTTTTGCGGGGCATCGCGAGTACAGCTACAAACACGGCTAAACAAAAGTACATACTATATGTAGAGGAGAGAGATAAAAATCGAGTGGTAATGGTCTTAGTGGTTGCACACACGTTCCACGGGGCAAGACAGATGAGGTTCCGCGAGCCCCGAAACGCCAGCCCACGACGCCCCGCCCTCCCGTTCGGATCGGGCGATTATCGAGCGACCTAGTTTCCTGCCGCCAGAGCTGCGTACAATACCTACACTGGCCCGAAACGTCGGTGGACCGGGAGACGCCGGGGTTTCTTTGAGGGATTCGGTTGCTTGTTTACCGGTATCTGAGTACCGTCGCCGAGGCATGTGACGTTTATCGATTTCGAGGGGGAGGACCGAAATGGGCCCAGTTGCGTACAACTCAGGGATTACAAAGTATCTCTGCCCGTCCCACCCCCCTCCTATTTAACGAGCTTTAAACTCCTACATCCCACTCGGATCGTTTGAAATTGAGGTAATTCGTCATTGTTGGAGGGAAATCACATTTTCGTGCGTCAGCTCGTAAAATGCTAATTTAATAACGTGAGCTCCGAAAGCTACCGATATCGCTCGTTTCGACCTATACCCATCGCTGACCGGAACTTTTGGTATTAACGTTGGGGGAGCAACAACGCATGCGTATATGCAAACCAGATCCGTATATTTATTTACGTTGCTGTACTTGCGTCCTTTAATTTTTCCGCGCACGTTTAAACAGGTGCGCGTACATTTTATGGTGTGTCCATATACATTTCTCTTTCTGCACGTATTTTAGTTCTGGAATG